GTTGTTATTCCCAGAAATACCTATAAAACTCAATATTTTAACTCCCTTCTCTCCACGATTGCATTTTCATCGACGCATCGCTCGGCATCAATCGACTAGTGCAAAGCACTGCCCGAAGGTTGTTTGGCGTATTTCAATTTTTGTCAGTGCTGGACTCACCCATCATTAACAGTGACATTAATGGTTCTTTACATTCGTTTAGGTAAAAATAATAATTATTAGGTACATTCCTTAATACCTACACAGTGTGTTAAAAGGAAATATTGTTAATTAGTTAAGAGCTGTTGCACTGTTTACTATTACAATCGAAATGTGTGAATTTCGAGCAAATTCTTTTAATTCTAGAAGTCACAAAAATAAATATATTTTATTAACTTTTTTTTAAAACAGTGGAACCATCATGTAAACGTTTTTAATAAAAAGCTAAAGGGTACTTCATGAATGTTTATTTAAAAAAACTGAAGAAATCTTTATCAAATTTTAATAAGAAATAACAAATCTATCAAGGGCTTGTCCAAACTTAAAATACTTTTGGAAATAATATAAGGAAGAAAAAGAGTTAGGTACACCACATTTTAAACCGACGATAATAAATTAAAAACAAACTAGTTTTGTTTTATTTTTGAATCCTTTTTTTTTGGTTTTTTGTTTTCGATTGCTTTTAAAATATAAGCTGGTTCCCTTAATGGCATCCCTCTAACGTGTCTTGGTAATATACAATTCATAAAAAAACTTTTTAATTTTTGCTCCATTTTGTTTCGCCAAAAATCATTTCTCTTTAGTATGTACTCTACTTTAAATGAATATTTATTTATGGTCTATCCAAACACCAAAGATACATCCTTTCCGGCCAGTAATATGTAACTGGCCTTGTATTTGGTAATACCATTGGTGTTCTGTATTTACTACATGTTCTCCAGTTTTTTTATCAGTAATCCAAAACGGAATTTTCTTTTTTCTATTGCGTCGTCCACTTCCATTTTATACGCTGAATATGGACATTTTACCTCAACCACAAGATCATCGCTAACGATTCCATTTGGTGTTGCACCTCAAAAATAATAATTTTTTATATTTTTTTTTTCTAATGTTTTTAGTGTATACAAATATTTTATAATATTTTTTATTTTTAATATAAAATAAACGGTACTAGAGTCGGCATATTTTTAAATAAGAAAAATATTACATATTATTTACCAACCTAAATATGGATATTCTCGGACGATAAAAATTCCACATTCTTCAATTAAAATGTTTTCTTGTTCTTGTAGTTGGAGTAATGCCACTTTCTCATATTTTTTTCCATGAGAAATGGAAGCTGCTTTTGGAGATGACTCATGAACTATTCTTTTTACTAATGGTCCACTCAAAGTAGTGCTTCTTCTAGTACATACTTAAAATGTGACGCTGTAATCATTTTCCTTCGGACTTCAAGCCATAAGCTACTATTTGCCTGGGAAAGAGTTTTTTCTTGAATTGAACTTTTTTCAGAATCAGATGATGGTAATCCTTTTAGAAAATCGTTTTTCTTTGCCTCAAAAATATTTTCCTCCAAATCTGGTTTGCTGCATTTTTGGCCATAGTCGAAATCGGTATTGGTCGCCCGAACCCTTTTTTTTCTTATACTAGATTTAGCTTTTATAGCCCGTAAGCGTCGTTGTCTTTCCAATTTATTTGCTACTAGCGATGAGTTACTTCTCAAAGTTTTCTTTAGTTCAGAATTACCACATTTTGAATTGAATGAAACAACTGCAGCAAAACACCTACTTTGGTACCATCGTCCTTTTGAATAATTAACTCTTTTACCCCCTACAAATTTGGCGACAATAGAGTGAAATTTTTCAACAATATTGCTGTCAACATCATATAACAGACTTCTACTTTGGTCTGACAAAGAATGTAATATTTGCTGAAGTCTAATAAAAAATTCGGGACTAGATTTCAAATTAGGTACAACATTGAGAGTGTCATCTGAATTTTTTTTACAAAAATATTCATCTCAATTCGAATGTTGCCCAAATATATGTAGAACAGAATTATCTATATCCTTTTTTAGCAATAAAATATTTTTAGAACTGCCTATATTTATGGTATTGTTTTTTCTATATGCCATTGCCTTTGTAATCGATGTTCTGAATCGAAGAATATTTTGGGACAATAACTTTCTCAATTTTATTGGGAAGCGTGTATCCAGGGAGTTTTTTTAATTTATTTGAAAAATTTCTGAGTAAGTGATTTCTATACTCGATTTTTTCAACAGTTAAATTATCATAGAGTCTATTCTCTAAATTTTTTTATAAGTGCTACTATCACCATCAGAAATTAGCTTTGCATATTTAATGCCGTGCAATTTTTCGCTATGTTTAAACCCTCTAACAAAATGGTGGATTCCATTCCTGTAGAAGTTCCAGTATAATTTTTATGTTCAATTTGTTTATTGGCTAAACAAATCGAACAAAACTTATTTTTAATTTTAATTTAATTTAATTTTTAATAACACTAACACAATACACTGCGTATCGAATCTTTCAAATTATACTGAGTCCATCCCAAAACAATATTTGTCTATCCGTGTCCTATACGGTAGTTACGGATGCAATTGAATGAATGTCTCTAACAAGGGTTTCTTTCTTTTGAGGTGGGAGTATTGGAGGAGATACCTACTGCAAATTTCCCCTGAAACGAAATTCAAGCGTCCAGAGCAATAACTCTTAAGGCCGCTAATTCACTGTACTTTAGATGACCAAAACAAAAGTTTACAACGTCATATTGAAACTTTAGTTGGTGAAATTAAAAAAATTAACTGCTGTTTTTCATTTTCTTCTAGTAATATAGGAAATTCCTGAGGCTTAAATATGACGATCTAACCCAACTTACCTCAGTCCAAAAGTGGATGACTTCGGAAATACAGAGTGTTTAAAGTTCAATTTGGTTTCAGTTTTTCATAAATATTTTTTTAAATACAGTCCGGTCAAATTAGACCAAAAAATGCAAGTGAGGTTACATAAATTCGCACCTGGCTGAAAGTTGGTAGAATTGTTCAAAACGCCATTATAAATGAAACCTAAAAAGTCCTCATCAATCCGGCACCTGGAAAAAAATTTACTCGGGGTCAAAGGTCACAAATATGGGTTTTCGCGATTTTCAGCAAAACGGTAATTTTTATCACAAAATTAGTTCAGATCAAAATTGTAGAGCAGATAATTATCTATAAAAAATGTCTAAGATTTTTTTTCCTAAGAGCCACCGTTTCCTAGATATAACAATTCAAAAAGTTCGAAGAGTTGGAATCGTCGTAATATGTATAAGTACACTACGTATTTACATCACTAAAGCTGTAATACAAGTCAAAATATTACTCTATCGGTCAGTGTAACTTATACAAAAATAAAATATTATAATAATAATATTATACTCGAAAGTGTTCTATTGCATATGAACAGACAACATGAAGAACAAGAAGCCAGTACATTTATTGTAGGTCCTCCTCGTACTATAGCACGTGTGAGTGAATCAGCTTTTTGTTTTAAAAAACAATGCTTATTTTGCAGTCAGGAATTGAATGAAGAGCATGAGAAAAGAAAATCTTTGGATTCTCGCCGTAAAATTCAACAAGTAAGTACACTTACGAGCCCCTTCCCATTTCAGTTGGCCCAACTATTGAAATTTAGGAAATTCGTATTTAAAGATTAAAAATATAAATATTGCATGAACTTTCCAATTTTTATTCATTTAACAATATTTGAATTTGCACAAGCCATATTGCCAAATCTCCACTTTCCGCTTTGTTTCATAGTTTATTTTTTAACCAAATTGTAACCTCTGTACATTGAAATTTATGATAAATAAATATGAAAATTTATATTATATTTTGAAATAACAATTCTGTTTTGTTTTATGAGACATTTTTGAAGATTTTAAATTTAAATTTTGTTATTATCACTATTGAAAGGTATTATTGACATTAAAAATAAGGATCGTATTACTTGAAAATCTTTTTTATTTTTATGGGATTTTTAATCGATGTAAAAATTGGTACCTAAATATATGATTAAAGTAAAATAGTTATTTCAATCTGCTTATTCCCTGGTTCCAAATAATTAAATATAAAGAAGAGGAAGGAATGGATGGCATTAGGTCTATCAAAATCTATTAAAAACAAAAATAAACTATATACTTTACATGTAAAATATCCTCAAAATCCTGAATTAGAACAACAATATAAAAATTACAAAAAACACTTGGTAAAAAATACAAAATCGGACTACTTAAAAAAAAAATCTGATGTGTCCAACACATGACTTTCCTATCTAGTTATTATAGGCTTTTTCCGGTTATTTTGTAAAACCTATTGCAGCATCTCTATAAATATTTAGAGGATAAACTAAATATATGCATTGTCCACATACATCTACCTCGAAACATTTTTCTATAGATATTCATGGAAAACGAAAATACTGAAAAATTTAAATTTCCTACAATTTTTTCATTACGGTCCATTTTAGAAAAATCATGTATTAACAAAAATTATAGAGATCGATATCCAAACAACTTTTATTTCAAAAACTTTCATAAAAATCAGAATTTTGCACATTTTGTCAAATTTCTCGAATACGGACCATTTCAGGAAATTTTTACATAAAACAAAAATTATAGATAAAAATATTAGAAGTAACTTTTATTTGAACAATTTTCTTCTCCAAACATAAATAACAGATATATTCCATAAAATATAAAAACGGCCTCCCATAAAGTACCCCTCTAGATGTTCCGACTTTAAAATTTATTAACGTTTGATTCCAACTATTTGTTTATTTTTTTTAATTTTATGTTAAATAAATATTTTAATGTTTTCTACATATTTTTTGTGATTAAACGAATTCGAAAATGATTTAGTTGCTGCTGAGGCTAAGTATCATCATGACTGCTTTAATTCCTTCTTGAAACCGTCCACTGGGGTTAAAGTCGGTCGTCCTCACGATGAAACTACGAATCTAGCAATGGAGGAAATATTCACTTATATCGAAAAGAGTGATGATTGTCAGTTTACTTTGAACGAATTAAAAAATGTTTGTAAAACTACAATTATAGATAACCGGACGCTAAAGCTGCGATTGAAGCTAAAGTATGGTAATAAAATTATTATCACTGAAAAATCAGGAACTTCAACATTCATATGCTTAGTAGACAATTATCATGATATTTTGAATCAAGCTTGGTATGAAAATAAATTGAATAAAAAAGAAGAACGACTCAGAATCTTAGAAGCTGCTGCAGCAATCATCCGCGAAGATATTCAATCCACTATGTTAGATAATTCTAATTACCCTCCACCAGGTCGCATGTTTGAAGATTTAAACAACGAAATCCCAGAGTCGCTGACCCATTTTTTGGATCAAGTGATTTTAAAAAATAAAAGATCAAATTTAGATCATTTAAAATTGATATGCACAAATATTAGCCATAGTATAATGGCTGCTCTTCGGCCGAGGTCTTTTAAGGATGATGAAGAAGAAGAACAAGGAGAAGAAGAAGAAGAAGAAGAAGAACAACTGGAAGAGGAAGCAGAAATATTTGAGAATTATGATTCCGACGAATAAATTTGCCTACTTTTTTTATTTACACCGCTTTTATCATTTTCAACTCTTGCCAATATCTTTTATTATTTAATAGTTTCAAATTAGAGTCAGAACAGATCGGTGGAATAGGCCTACCGGGGAAACCACGTTAAAAAAACGCGCTAAGTACACTACCTCAAAGGTGGTGTGGAAACGTGTGCATATTACGACAATTCCAACTCTTCGAACTTTTTGAATTGTTATATCTAGGAAACGGTGGCTCTTAGGAAAAAAATCTTAGACATTTTTTATAGATAATTATCTGCTCTACAATTTTGATCTGAACTAATTTTGTGATAAAACTTACCGTTTTGCTGAAAATCGCGAAAACCCATTTTTGTGACCTTTGGCCCCGAGTAAATTTTTTTCCAGGTGCTTTTTAGGTTTCATTAATAATGGTGTTTTGAACAATCCTACCAACTTTCAGCCAGGTGCGAATTTATGTATCCTTAAATGTCTAGATTGACCGGACTAATAATTGATGTATTTTCACAATATTTGAATAGGGGTGTTTTGTGGGATGCAAAAATTAAAAGCTGCTTTCATTTTTATTGTAAAATTTACAATAATATAGACCTGGACATACACGAAGTGAATCGAAATATTTCAAAAACAGCTGCTCAAATCAATTCGTATCACGTATATCTTTTTTAGGTAAAACACTGCAGAACAAGAATTTTTAAAAGTTATTTCTTTTCAAAGGACATTATAAGATTGAGACAAAATATATAAAAATCCTAAAAATATTCCCGAATTTCATATGGCATATGAGTCGTCTTCTATTTTAACCAATCAGAAAGAAAACTTGCTTTAAAATGACAAAGAAAATAATATTGTCAAATTTTCGTGTTTATCAAACCTTAAATTTCTGTCATCTGTTTCTTGATGGTATGTTGATGGTACATTTGAATATTATCCTAGTTTTTTCACTCAGTTGTTTACAATTCATGGTCTCAAAGATAATCATTACATTCCATTAGTTTTTTGTCTCCTTCCTAATAAAACATTCTTATCATACAATCTTGTTTTGGTAATGTTGTAATTGAAGGGTCTGGAAATGCGCCTGTGTGCACCATTCCTGTTCCGGCTAGTTCTGCCAGTTGGAATCGTTACATAGTTGCCAGGTTATATTTAATTATTTGGAACCAGGGAATAAGCAGATTGAAAAACCTATTTTACTTTAATCATATATTTAGGTACCAATTTTTACATCGATTAAAAATCCCATAAAAATAAAAAAATGTTCTGAAGATTTTCAAGTAATACGATCCTTATTTTTAATGTCAATAATACCTTTCAATAGTGATAATAACAAAATTTAAATTTAAAATCTTCAAAAATGTCTTATAAAACAAAACAGAATTGTTATTTCAAAATATAATGTAAATTTTCATATTTATTTATCATAAATTTCAATGTACAGAGGTTACAATTTGGTTAAAAAATAAACTATGAAACAAAGCGGAAAGTGGAGATTTGGCAATATGGCTTGTGCAAATTCAAATTCTAGACGTCAGTGCAGAGTGGTGTGTTTATGCGCATTTCTAGACCCGTCAACTACATCATTACTCTTCATTACCCTTGTTTTTAAGTATATAATAGAAGAGTGTGTCAAACTTAACCACCCTGTTTCGCCAAAAATGATGTAACATTCTAATATTACAATGTCACAATTTTTTAATAAACTCACCTTAACGTAGGATTTTCTATCCTTAATATATAAGCGCAGGTCTTATCCTGGTTCTCCAATTACAACTATGCCACTTATTTCAATTATTCCACTCATTTCAGCTAACGAACAGCGTATTCGCCAGTTGGTTAACTTACTATTAAATTTTATCATCTTGGTTTGTACAATTTATCCAAGATAGCACATCCCTGTATATCTCTGAAATATTGATTTTTATAATTTCTATTGAAATAACTTAATACAACCTTTTTTTTATAATTTCTATTAAAATACTCAAAATTTCACCCATCGAAAACAGATGTTTATCCTTACTGTCTTTCGGGGTGTATGACCTGAAGGCCATGTGGTTTATTGGTTAAATTGATAATATTTTGTAGCAAATGTCAAGCCGCCCTTAAACAAAACCCCGTTGGTATCTCAAAGAAGTTACATAAATACAGACAGTAGATTATATACTAATTTCATCTAGCGTTGTGACGGTCTCGATTGAGGTACATCGCAGCGTTAAGCGTCGAGGCGCCTAGCGTCGTGGTGGAAAGGAAGGTATTTAATACGATACTGTATTGGGACATATATACGGTAGAATTATGTAGGTGGTGCGGGACGTGATATTATGAAGGACATATTTGGGGACGGCAAGCGTCGGAAATAAGGCGTGGGACGTTGAGCGTCGAAATGAGTGTACGGTAGGAAATACTTAGATGGTGAGGAATGTGACAGCGTTCGAAACATAGGGAGTAGGACTGCAGGACGTTGGGCGTCGAGATGTTGACACCTTCGGGGATAGGAGGTATTGTAGGATAGACGTCGTTTAGGAAGAGCGTTTTAGGAAAGGTACTGACTACTGAACTTGAAATATAACTGGATACAAATAATAAATGAATGCTTGCACATCAAATAATTAAAAATGAATGAATCCGAGCTCATTTGGGTACGGCTTTTTATAATAAAGTTTTAATGGCTTTGTGACGTCTCTATGTCTTTAGTTCTCATAGAAATGAAATATTGCGGGTGCAGGGAGTGGGTTATTTATTATGTGCTTTGAAAGCTTTGTGTATCGAAATATTGTCGAAATCGGTGAAACTAGCAAGATAAGCGAGTTAAGTGTTTTAATAATAATTACTTCGTGAAAGAAATACGTTTTATGGTGTTTTTTTCTCTAGAAACTCAGCCACGTGCACCAAACTTGTATCTTATACGGACGTGGTTATAGCTATTATTTATTAGATGTCGTAAATAAGATTTAATTATCTGGGAGATTTTTCGTTAAATGAAGCATTTTGAATTTAATAAGAATGTAATATAGTATTTAATAAATGGAATTAATAAATTATTAAGGTACCTGGGTGCGGTAGGTTACCGTACAGACTACAATTTAAATTTTGAAGAAAGACCTTTAATTCATTAAAATTTATGTTGATACTCCTTATGTTAGTCTGTAAAATTTTAAAGTTATAAATATTTTTGCCAACATAATTACATAATGTCATTATCTAATTCTTTAAAAGCCACTTTTTTAAAAATATATATATATATATAAATAAACATTTTTTTATCTGGACAAATCAGCTTCAATTTAAAAAATTTCATGAACAAAAATTAATATAATAAAATGTGTAAAAAACTCATTTAAATCGTTTGAGAAATATAAATCAAATATTAAGCATAGAGGTATTACGTGGTCTTAAAATAGACCAAAACACATTATTTAAAACTAAACAATCAAAACAAAAATGACGATTTTTTGTTGATTTTTTAAATAAAATTTTTTAATTTTTTTGAAAATAATTTTTGAAACATTGATTACATTTATTGAAGAATGTAAAATTGAATCAATAATAAATCCTCCTGCACACTCACAAATGTTTTATCAAAATAAAAACTCGTTCAAAATACATATATGAGTTTGTATTTGAATTTAATCAAATTTTATTATAGTGTATGAATATTTGCCTCTAGAATAATTGCCATTTATTAAATAAAAACATGGGTAACCAGTCATTAAAATTTATATCTGAAATAAAATACAATTAACCAAATTTAAAATCATATTAATAACATATCTGCTCATTTAAAAAATGTTTGTATTGAATCAAACGCTCGCAAAACACGTTCAACCGAAACGCAACTAAATAAACCATTTAGTGCAACATTTCAAAGTACCTAATTCGAATTTCGACGATAATTTTTTCGCATCACTACTCCCAAAGTAATTATTTAATATGCAGTCAGACAACGCATTGACGTTTATGTTTTGCTAGTATTATGTTTCACAGTTAAATTGCACGATATGTTGCGCACACGGTCGGTGTATGTGTGTATAACTGTTAATTATTATTTCATAGGCATACGAGGATAACCGGATTTGCTTTATGCATTACTTATCCGTCGTAGTGACTCTGGAGGTGCCCGATAAACAAAGGAAACAGGGTCATAAGATACAAAAGTAAAGGCTGTGTTTGTGCAAATCTATTAATTTTTTCTGTAAAATTTAAGTAGGTATTAAATAATTTTTGTTAGCTGATGCCTTTTTTATTTTTTCCGAGATAAAGTTTAATAATTAGAACCAGAAGCCCTAACAGGTTAATTCATTTGGAAATACGCATACGCTAGGAGTAGATATAGAACACGGTGATTTTAAGTTGTAAATTCTATTATCTAAAATCAATATTCTAAATTAAATATTATACATTTAATAATCTATATTCAATATTTTACATTGAAAGTTCTAAATTCTATATTCTCAATTCCAGATTTTAAATTCTATTTTTTAAATCTAGTTTTTAAATTGTATATTCCAAATTCTATATTCTATGTTCTACATTCTAAATGATATATTCTATGTTCTATATTCTAATTGATATATTCTATATTTTAAATTATGTATTTTAAATTCTATATTCTAAATTATAGTCTAAATTCTCTTTTAAATTATATTGTAAATTCTATTCTAAATTCTTTTCTAAATTCTATACTAATTTCTATTCTAAATTATATTCTAAATTCCATTCCAAATTCTATTCCAAATTCTATTCCAAATTCTATTCCAAATTCTATTCTAAATTCTATTCCAAATCCTATTCCAAATTCTATTCCAAATTGTATTCCAACTTCTATTCCAAATTCTATTCCAAATTCTATTCCAAATTATATTCCAAATTCTATTTCAAATTTTATTCCAAATTCTATTCCAAATTCTATTCCAAATTCTATTCCAAATTCTATTCCAAATTCTATTCCAAATTCTATTCCAAATACTATTCCAAATTCTATTCCAAATTCTATCCCAAATTATATTCCAAATTATATTTCAAATTCTATTCCAAATTCTGTTCCAAATTCTATTCGAAATTCTATTCCAAATTCTATTCCAAATTCTATTCCAAATACTGTTCCAAATTCTATTCCAAATTATATTCGAAATTCTATTCCAAATTCTATTCCAAATTCTATTCCAAATTCTATTCCAAATTCTATTCCAAATTCTATTCCAAATTCTATTCCAAATTCTATTCCAAATTCTATTCCAAACTCTATTCCAAATTCTATTTCAAATTCTATTCCAAATTTTATTCCAAATTCTATTTCAAATTCTATTCCAAATTCTATTCCAAATTCTATTCCAAATTCTATTCCAAATTCTATTCCAAATTCTATTCCAAATTCTATTCCAACTTCTATTCCAAATTCTATTCCAAATTCTATTTCAAATTCTATTCCAAATTCTATTTCAAATTCTATTCCAAATTTTATTCAAAATTCTATTCCAAATTCTATTCCAAATTCTATTCCAAATTCTATTCCAAATTCTATTTCAAATTCTATTTCAAATTCTATTTCAAATTGTATTCCAAATTTTATTCCAAATTTTATTCCAAATTCTATTCCAAATTCTATGCCAAATTCTATTCCAAATTCTATTCCAAATTCTATTCCAAATTCTATTCCAAATTCTATTCCAAATTCTATTCCAAATTCTATTTCAAATTCTATTCCAAATTCTATTTCAAATTCTATTCCAAATTCTATTCCAAATTCTATCCCAAATTATATCCCAAATTATATCCCAAATTCTATTCCAAATTCTGTTCCAAATTCTATTCCAAATTCTATTCCAAATTCTATTCCAAATTTTATTCCAAATTCTATTCCAAATTCTATTCCAAATTTTATTCCAAATTTTATTCCAAATTCTATTCCAAATTCTATTCCAAATTCTATTCCAAATTCTATTCCAAATTCTATTCCAAATTCTATTCCAAATTCTATTCCAAATTCTATTCCAAATTCTATTCCAAATTCTATTCCAAATTCTATTCCAAATTCTATTCCAAATTCTATTCCAAATTCTATTCCAAATTCTATTCCAAATTCTATTCCAAATTATTATATTCTCAATACCATTCTATGTTTTTCTACGTTATATATTCTAAAATATATATTCTAAAATGTATATTCCAAAATATATATTCTAAAATATATATTCTAAATTCATTATTCTAAATTTATTATTCAAAATTCATTATTCCAAATTCATTATTCTAAATTAATTATTTTTGTAAATTCAATGTTTGAAATTTAATATCCTAAATTTATTATTCTGAATTTAATATTCTGAATTCAATGTTCTGAATTCAATATTCTGAATTCAATATTCTAAATTTTATATACTAAATTGTATATTCCAAATTTTTATTCTAAATTATATAATATTATGGAATTTTATATGTTAAATGTTCTAGATTCTATAATATAAATTCAATATTCAAAATTTAATATTCTAAATTCAATATTCTAAATTTTATATTAAAAATCCTACAATTCTTTAAATTTAAAATTCTAAATCCTACAATTCTCTAAAGTCTAAAATTCTGTAAGTTCTAATATTCTCTAAATTCTGTTATTCTCCAATTTCTACAATTCTCAAAATTTTCGAAATTCAAATTTTTTTCATTTCTAAAAATCTCTAAATTCTAAAATTAAATTCTCTAATTTCCGAAATTCTCCAAATTTTAAAATTTAAATTCTAAAATTCTCCAAATTTTAAAATTTACATTCGAAAATTTTTTAATTTCTGAAATTCTCTATTTTCTATATTTTAAATTATATATTCTAAATTCTACTATTCTCTAAATTCTACAATTCTTCAAACTCAAAATTTCTTTAAATTTTGAAATCTATATTTTAAAATTTTTTAATTTCTAAAATCTCTAAATTTTAAAATTCCAAAATTTCCCAGTTTCTATAATTCTACAAATTTTAAAATTTAATTTCTAAATTATATATTCTTAATTCTACAATTCTCCAAAGTGCGCAATTCTATAAATGCTACAATTCTCTAAATTCTAAAATTTGTGAATTTCCAAAATTTTCTAAATTCAAAAATTTTAATTCCAAATTATATAGAAATGTGATAGAAACCCACCGTTCAATGCCCGGAGTGCCTCGTCAGCAAAGTCAGCACTTTGCACCTTGGCGACAATGAACCCGAGATTATAAATACCATGTCAACGTGGGAATCAACGTTCTTTTTATTTTAATCATTTACGATAAACATTGTTAATTAAAGATCCATTTTTGTATATTTTTTAAATAAATAAAGTTTGCTTTTTTTTGGAAACTTAAAGTGTTGTTAACTTAACTGGCGCTGCGAACAGGATTCTTCGTACAGAAAACTCACTTTTCCTGGTCAACTCAGTTGTTTAACGAAAAATCCACCGAACCTAGGACGAGAGGAAGAAGTAGCATGCAGAGGACATCTTCAGTGATCATCCTTTTGTGAGTACAATTTTCCTTTATCCTTTATGAGCACTTTAGATAATATTTCCGAAGAAAACTTACACGTTATATTAGCCGGTCTCAAATTAGAGACTACCGACATTTCTGATCAAGCGAATAGTTCTCAACTTTCTCAGAATCCCTCTGAAAATTTTCGAAACGTTCTTCGCCCCGAAATGCCTATGACTAATAGTGATATTTCTAGCCTTTGTGCTACTTTACCCGAATTTTCTACAGGAGATAACCTCTCCACATTTATTAAATCAGTAGATAATTTAATCGTATTCTTATCTAATCAAAATCTAACTCAACCACAAGAATTTATTTTAAATGCTAATATTGCTTCTCGTATCAAGGGTGAACCTAGAGACTATTTAAATTTTACTAATAAAACAGTTTGGAATGAAATTCGACCTGCCCTTTTGGCAAAATACGGCGACAGACGTTCTGAAGACATTTTAGTGACACAGTTATCTACAACGGTACAAAAAACTAACGAGACATATGACGATTATCATCAAAGGGTGTGCGACAATTTAAATGATTTATTACAACACATATCACTAAATGACAACCCCGAAACATTAAATTTCAAAACACCTTATTTTAAAGGCATTGCTCTTAAAACTTTTTGTACAGGTATAAATGAACCATATTGTGAATATTTGTCGCATTTTAGAATTGAAAGTCTTGAAGAGGGCCTTCAAAAATGCATTACTTACGATAATCATAAGAGTCAACAACAATACATGAATTTCCTGAAAGGTCAACAAAATCCAAAACAAAGAATTAATCCCATTAAACAAACCTCGTACAAGCCTGTATACAATAAACCTAATTTTTCACACTCACAGGGTAATTTTCAACCAAATTTCACAAACTTTTCACAAAATAAACCTCCACATGCTTTTACTTATAGAAATAATCAAAATTTTAATAATTCGCCACAATTCGGCAACAATTCTAATTTCAGAAACAACACTCAAAATTTTAATAATTCATCTTCATTTCCCAATAATTCGTCTTTCCGAAATAACCCCCAAAATTTTAATAGATCATTTAGAAATTCCCAAAATCATCAAAGTTCTCCCACTCCCATGAGTGGCGTACAAACAATTACTACAAAAAATCAACCTATGAGTTTATCCACTAGAAGGACACATAATTTTAATATAGATACTTCCAGGGATGAAAATTCCGAATCATTGCCCCGAAATTTTGAATTTAATGATACAGAAAATTATGATGACAGGACAGAAAATTTTCAACAGGAAAATTTTCAGGTCGGTTTTTTAGAAGGACAACCGCCGCCTCAATAGATCTAAATAATATTCATAATTATCCCCAGTTACCCTATTTTATTATGCCTAAAACAAGATTAAAGGTTCTTATTGATTCAGGAGGTTCAGACACTATCATTTCACCAAAAGCCGCGACATATTTTGATCCAACTCACAAATATAAAAAACCATTTACATTAACGTCAATGAAAATCACTCAAACATTTTTGTCAAATATTAAAACGCCTTTATTTAAAGAATTTAACATATACGAAACTATCGATGCTAGAATTGCTGATTGGAGTAAACATTTTGATATTTTACTTGGAAATTATGATTTAGAACGTTTACGCGCATTAATAGACTACCAAACTAAAACACTGACATTAAGAGCTTTTAATATTATCATCCCTTTCGACACTTTATATAACAAAATTCCAGTTAATATAAGTAGTGGCGAAATACTTTTCCCCGAAATTAAAATAAATAACATACAAATTCCCGAATCAATCCACACTGTTACAAACGGTTATATAGATGACATTTATCTCCCTAGCCCCGAACAATTAGAACCAATACAAGTAGAAAATTTAGATAATTATGAAATCTCAGAAGGTCCGATAAATTTTGACCCTTCAATAATTCGTACTCAACATTTAAATTTAGAGGAAAAAGAAAAAATTTTAAAATTATGTAAGAAATATAAAGACATTTTTTATGACGAAAAATCAGACTTAACTTTTACTTCAGCTATAAAGCATTCAATTAGGACACGGGATGAAAATCCTATCTATGTTAGAGGATTTCGACATCCAAAGGTAATGCAAGAAGAAATTACTAGACAAGTTAATAAATTATTAGATAATAAAATAATTAGACCCTCAATTTCACCCTATTCAGCCCCTGTTTGGATAGTACCAAAAAAAGCCGACGCTTCCGGCCAGAAAAAATTCCGTATGGTAATAGACTATCGTAAATTAAATGACAATACAATTGACGACAAATATCCTCTGCCGAAAATTGATGAAATTTTAGACAATTTAGGCAAAGCAACTTATTTTACAACTCTTGATTTAGCGCAGGGATTTCACCAAATCGAACTTCACCCCAACTCTATTGAAAAAACAGCTTTTACAGTTCCTCATGGACACTTTGAATTTGTGAGGATGCCATTTGGGCTTAAAAATGCCCCTGCCACTTTCGAAAAATTAATGGATAACGTCCTTAGGCCTTTTCTTTACAAATTTTGTTTCGTTTATATGGACGATGTAATTATATTTTCAAAATCCCTACAGGAACACCTCGTACATATTGCAACTATTTTTGAAACATTTCAAAAAACGAATTTAAAGGTACAGCTTGACAAATCTGAATTTCTTACGAAAGAAGTAGCTTTTCTTGGACATATAGTAACCCCCGAAGGTATAAAACCAAATCCCGCTAAACTAGAGGCTATTCAGAAATTTCCACTCCCAAAAACACTAAAAGAAATTAAATCCTTCTTAGGACTTATAGGATACTATCGACGATTTATCCCAAACTTTGCAAAAATTACATCCCCATTTTCTCGTTGCACCCGAAAAGGAGCAGTTATCGACCCCAATAATTCACTTTATCTCGAATGCTTCGAAAAATGTAAGCAACTATTATCCAATGCCCCTGTTCTTCAATACCCAGATTTCTCTAAACATTTTGTTCTAACTACTGATGCTTCTAATATAGCCATTGGCTCGGTATTAACACAAGATAATCACCCAATCGCATATTATTCTCGAACTTTGAACTCCGCAGAACAAAATTATTCAACAACCGAAAAAGAGCTATTAGCAATAATCGATTCTTGTAAACATTTTCGCCCTTATCTATACGCTCAAAATTTCACTGTTGAATCTGACCATAATCCCCTTGTATGGCTTTATAAAATTAAAGATCCCACTTCCAGATTAGCACGCTGGAGATTAAAACTCGAAGATTATAATTTCGAGGTAAAATACAAAAAAGGAAAAGAAAATCAAGTAGCCGACGCCCTTTCTCGAGTACAGATAAATGCACTCACCGGCGATTCTATGTGTGCCGAACCCCCAAATCTTAATGACTTGAATGACTTTGACCTCGACGAATTTTTTGAACAATTAAACGACAGACAACCCCCTAGTACTGATAACACGCAACACACGGCAGCAGAAAACCCAATTGCGGGAATTCCGATTTCGGAAGAACCCATTAACCTTTCAACAAATCAAATTATCTTTGTCCCTCAATCTAAAGAGTATGACATAACTTATAAAAAATTATTTAACAAACACAGACACACTGTAACAATTACCGATGACTGGATAATGGAAATTACTGACGCATTCAAAAGTTTACTAAGACCAAATCAAAAATT